ACACCCACCCCCTAGATCACAATATCAACCAGGCCTCCACCTCCCTCTAATAAGCACCTTCCCTTCCCTCCTCCTACTTTCTTAAAGAGTAGGGATACAAAGAAAACCTGTTTCTATTGCCACTTAATTTATAACTTTTAAGCATCAACTACAGGGAAATCAGTATAGGAGAATGATGTCTTCTCTGTTTAAGTCACTTCCACCTATTTCTATCTCCATGTGCTTACAGAGTTCCTCTATATGCATTGCTTGTTCTTTTAATTTTCTTTCTATTAAGTCACTTCCAGCTATTTCTATAGATCTGTATGTGCTTGCAGGGTTCCTTTATATGTAGTCTTTTCTTTTAATTTTTGTTCCCTTTAGCCAAAATGGTGTCCACTTTGCTGATCATGGGCAATACACCAACTTGTCTCTATTAATTTTCTTTTTAGAATATGCTTGATTCTTCTTTTATATATTTTAATCTATTTTTTATCACCAATTATTTTTTATATTTCAAGGTTCTTACTGAAGATGACAAGTTTTTAATTACATCAGATAGAGATGAGAAGATACGAGTTAGTTGTTTCCCAAACTCATATAGCATCCATACATTTTGTCTTGGACATTTAGAGTAAGTTTATTAATCACTTCTAAATAATGTACTTGTAGATAATAGATCTTGCATAGAATTAATGACAATTGGCTGCCCCAAAGTTTTTAATCCATTTTATAGAAAAATGGAAACACAGATGTATGCTCTGAACTGAGTAGGCATACAAAGTAGAATTCCCTTCTAGGGAGCTCTGTTTGCAATATTACTCCTCTGGAAAATTTTGAAATTTTAAACTCTCTGAGATGTGGTTTCTGGCATTCTGGAACATATTTGAGTAAATTTTTTGGCTAGACATCAATCTTAAAATCAGTTCAAAAATACTTAATTTCTATCTTTGATCATAATTCACACTCAGTAGCCAGCGCAAAATGGTCTGACAGCTAGTGGGTTTCTGCCTTCTATGAGCTCTTAATAACAACACTGGAAATCAGAAGGAAAATATTTGTCTCAGAATTGAATGACCCAAATGATTGCAAGTTCAATTTCATTTTATAAAAAAACAAAGTGTTATCGTTTATGTCTCTACAGTTTTGTTAGCTGTTTAGCTCTGTTATCAAGAAGTCAAAACATTCTTGTGTCAGGTGGAGGGGTAGGTACTCATGTTTTGTTTAACCCTTTCACTCCCAAGATGTAATCAATAATTCTCCTTACTATTTGCCATACAATTCTTATGATGTTCGTTCAGAGAATTTGGTATTGGATCAACTAATAATCCCATAACTGACATTCTTCTCTATTCTCATCACCTACCTGCTTGATATTGTATAGATATTGTAAGGAGAAATTCTGTCTTGGTCACTTGTGGGGGTGAAAGGGTTAACTTTGTTAATCTTAGTTGTATCTGATCTCTCTTCATAGGGAAGGTAGAGTATTGGATAATACTGATGGCAGCTCATCACGAAATTTGGTCAACACTTGACCTGCAGTTTTTTTGGAGTCAATTTCTGTTTGAAAAATTTCTTCTTTCACTTTGTCACAAGTGTATAATTGCAATAGTTTCTGGGCCTTATATATATCACTTTATGTTATGTAGTCCTTCTAATGCTCAAACTTACTACTTGTTTAGGATGGAACTTGTTTTTTTTTTAAATTTTTATTTATATGTTCTTAATTTCCTTATGCAAGGATGGGACTGTCACTTTCTGGAATCCTGATTCAGGCAAAGATATAGCTTCAAAAAAGATAGATTACTCAATAGAAGACATCAAAGAGGAAAACCCTGAGGTAGTTTCCTTGCATTGTAACCCTGACTTGTTTTTCAATAATTGTAGGGTACCATGATAGTGTGATGATCTCACCTGGCTTCAAGTGTGCATTGTGTTCATTCTTGCCCTGAGGATTTTTATCAAAGTTCTCCTCCTTTCCAATCGTCCAAGTTCCAATTTAGTTTGGTATTTACTTTTTGGATGCGCTTCATCTCAATTTCAATTGTTTTCCCTTTTGTATTTAGTTATTTGTTCATGTAGTTATTAATTTTGAGGCCTTTCTTCATTAACTAACCAGTTTTGCTGACCCTTCTCCACAGGATGATCAGCACTGTGGTCCAATTGTTTCATCCTTAACTTGCTGTTGCAGAAACTCAGTGGTGTGTGCTATAATAGAAAGGTATACCTGTTTCAATTTCCCTCTGAAATCTATTAGATTTAGCTTGGAGGATTACTCATATCATTATCATGGTAATTATGGAAAGGATCAGAAACGATGTGTTTACCTAAGTTCTTTCCTTGGCAGATGTAAAATCATTTCTTTATACCATGCAAGTCAAAAGGAGGTTATAACCCTCCCTTCCTTAGAAGCAAATGTGCCCCCCTGGAGTGCAGTATTTGACCCAGAGGGTAGACTCTGGTGTGTGCAGCCCTACCCTGAGGAGCCTGTGTTGGTTTTTGAACCTAGCGGACATTCACCAGACTTAACGGTTTGTGATACAGAAATTGATTTCAGAGCGCTTTTCGATTGTGTGTCGTAAAGCCAAAACCAAAGAAACTACAATGACCTTTCAGATTAAGGAAAGTATTGCAAGTAGCCAATGAGAACTCAAAATAAAGAAGCAAGCCGCCTAAGACGAGGGCGACCAAGTCGTGATTGGTTTTAGTTTTACATCTGATTTTGCGCGAGTTTTCTGGACCAATCACAGAGCAAGGCAAAGCAAATCGGATTACTTTCGACGCTCAATTGAAAATGACTTCAACTGGTTTTCTCTTCATGGTGAATCTTTCTGTGAACATTTTCATATATTCGTTACAAGAATGGTGTTACGGTACTAGTTAGGTGAAACAAGGAGTCAGAAATCAAACTTTGACCAACGACATACGTGAGAAATTACTATCTTAATGGAGTTCGCATGACAGTTACAGCATTACCGTGGTCTTCCATTAACCTGAAGGAAACTGCACAATATATACCTCTCACTGACCAAGCTCGAGGTCCTTACCGTAAGGTACAGATATTTTGTCTTTTCATTGATGACCCATAAATCAAAGATGAAAAGAACGAGAATCCGTAACTTACAGAAACGACCAAGTAGACTGGGTCAGCAAGATACTTACGTCTATTGTGTGTCTGGCGGATGTTGAAAAAGAATTCTAATCACGTAGAACGGCTTTAAATCTACTTTCGAGTTCTAAAAACCAAATGGGGCCAAGAGCGCAGTTCTTTTTTTAGTAATTTGTTTTTTTCTATATGCAAGAAAAGTGGTCTTTTTTTTAATCTGAGACTTTACACTTACTCTTGCTAAAAAGTTGAGGTTTTGAATAGGTCTGAATAGCCTTTTCATTTACTATTTCTTGCAAGTGTGATATCTTATAACATTAAAAAATTGTTTTTTTCCCCTCGCAGTACGTAAAACTGGTGTCGGATTTTACACCGCTCCTGTCCTCAGTTAGCGACTGGAACTATTTAAAAGGTAATTCTTACATTACTTATTGAAACTGTAGTTTCGGGCTGTTAAAACTGTACATATTTCATGAAGTAATTAACACCATGGCTAAAGTTAGCCCCATGTTAGCTCTGCTCAAGTGGTGTTTATGACTGCGAAGATCACTTTCATATTCTTAGCCCTATGTTGTTGGCGTTTGACCCAACTACAACTTGGCCGCATTTACACGGTACTAGAATCAATGAACTTATGGTTTGCTTGTGAACATCTTGCATCTCATTTATTGAAAGCAATTTACGCTTAAATGCATGAGAAAAGAAAAAGGGCTTTAAGACCGGACCTTGACTGCCTCTAGCTTTTTTTTTTTGGAAGAATTTTATCCGTGATTCCGTATCACGGGCACCTGAAATCTAGCCTCGCTCTTACAAAGGATTTTTTTAAAATAAACACAAGAATGAGAGAGAGGGAGTTGAACACTTTAATTGTTTTTGTTGTTGTTGTTGTTTTTTTTATGATTAATTACTGAATAAACTTATTTATCACTCGTGGTTTATTTTCTAAGATATCGGCAAAATTCTAGCAAAATCCAAGTAAGTAATCACAAAGGCCTTTCAGATCAGTGATCAATATCACAAGAAGCCATTGAAAACTTGAACTAAAATCGGCCAAAAGCGTGGCAAAACGAGCGTGCACGTGTCACGGGTTGTGCATGCATCTAATTGGTTGAGAGAGTAAAGTAAGTTTTCGACCTATCAGATTGCGAAGTTGGGGTTAAACGATGCAATCCTGGATCTCGTGCGACACAAATTAAATTGTTTAATGTCATCGTGATAAAGGGTTTCTTATTCAATAACGCAAGGCTTTGTTGGGCGTAACCGCCCCCTTGTCCAATCATGGTGTGAGTTTTATGATCCGGAACTGACCCCCCACATTTGCCCACGCAGGTAGTTTAAATCAGGAGCGTAAACTGGATACGCTAAGAAAGAAAGAGGTCGACAATTTAACGGAGTACTTGGCAAGAAAAGAGGAACGAATAGAAAAGAAAAATAACAAGAGTAAACATCAGGACAACGGTCATACTAAAATGGACAGCTCCACCGTTGAACCGACCACAGAAAGTGAAGCAAAGAGACCAAAACTTGAGTTGACAAGTTAAATTGGCCAACTAAACAATGAGTGTTCGCTACTGCCTATTTGATACACTTGTGTAGTCCTTGAATCAAACAAAATCTATACAATTAAAAACTCTTTGGAATCCAGTGCGCCTATAATTCTGATAAATCGAGAATAACTCCAAGCTTTTGCCAAAACATTACATGTGCTCTTACATGGTAAATTGTTTCTTATTTTATCGTTTTTATAATATTTAATTCACATTTCATTTTCAGTTCGAGTTTTCCACCCTCATTCTCACGTTTTGGCTACTGTGGCTAATTTTGATTCGTAAGATAAGTGAAAGGTACATTCCAATCGTAGATGCGAATTCTTTTTTAATTTAACGTGATAAGGCTGTCTTTTACCAAGTGTAAACAAAGATTCAGTCTGAGGTGTAATTGCTTTTCGAAAAAAGAAGAAAAAAAATTGCAGCGAAACTTCCACTCTTTCTCGTCTTCAGTTGGCAATTAACCCTTCCTACCCTAAAATTAATATTCAAAGCTCTCCACAGTGTTCTCTCTACATTTTCTACGGTCATGGGAAGGAGGATGTACTTGATAATCAGGAGCTTCTTAATTTGGGGATCACTTCCATTATTCTCATGACCTATAAAGGTGTTATTGTAAGGAGAAATTAGAGGTCGGTCGTTCGTTCCTAAGAGTTGAAGGGTCATTCAAACCAGTCAACTCGTTCCTCATACTAACCTCGTGGAATAAAGGCTAATTTTTTTCTTGCGTAGCGGCCAGCCTTGTGTTCTGAAACCTTATAAAGATAAACATAAAAAAAAAATACTTTTTTCCAAATAATTTCGAAAAACATTAAGCTTAGTTTGTCCCTAAAAAATATCGTATCAAATCAGATAATCTATAAACAGGCTACATAATAGCTTTTTCATAAAGCCGTTCAGAATTTTTCGAGCACCGTGCATAGAGAATGAACAAACAAGCGTTGGTAACTGATTTTATCGAGAAAGTAACAATAAAAAATGGCATAAACTTTTCCTGCATTTCGAATTTTTGTGAGTTTTTCATGTTGCATTCACCAATATACAGCTCATGCAATTCCGCACACTTTTAAAACATCACTCGAACCTTTGAATCCGCTCGAAATGCATTCGCGTTCACGCGCGGAGTACTTTATCCTCCGATGATATCAATGTTCCGCTGGAAACTGGGAAACAAACAAAAATCACATCGACATCTCGTGGATTATCTCGTGAATGAGGGCTCGCTGTATTCAAAAACGAACCCGTAAACAAAATTGACGTGCTTCTATTGAATTCAAAATACAATTTTTTTATTATTTGCATTTTGGTAACGGCAACGTTGTTGAACTTTAATTGTTAAAAGTTCACAAATTGCACTTTGATTCACCCGTGAAGAGACTGGATACCCTTTCTCGCAGTGCTTGCAGTACATATTACTTTCAGTTTCCATAGTAGTCTTGTTCCCTGGAAAACTCGTTTTTTGTATACGAATAGTTATCAAGTTCATCTACAGATAGTTGAAATCGAAAAAATGAAAGATAAGTGCGTGTACAAGAAATCGTAAATTGAGTATGCAAATATAGCCACTTCATGAAAAAAATCGCTACTCTGTTCCTGACTTTAATCATTTTACGAAAAAAGGTAAAACCTTTGAGCGGCGATTAATCACGTCTAAAAATAGGTCATTTCAAGTTATTTCGAAAGTCCAGCATAGCTTTCTGATTTGTCAAAACATCAAAATAAGGAAGGAAAGGTCGGTACGTGTGAGTTACGGAGTACGCCCCTGTAGATGTTACTATGACAGCAAAACTTTGATTGACAAACTTATCACGTGGCCAAACATGACGTTTTTGTTTTGAAGGACGAAAGTGAGGCGGAGTAAGGTGAGAAGTCCTTGAGTTCCTGCAAACTAACATGAAAATTTCTGACTTTTTACAAACCTAAGGCGTCTTTTTGAAGATGCGGAGACGTCACAAACAAGGTAATTTCTGGTTGTCCGTCAGCTTTTATGCCTGTCCTGATTATGTTTGCTGCTTTCCTGTTTTATCACGCGATAGTGTGTCCTGGTTGTGACTAATTGTGGGCTGTCATCGCGTGAACTCAAATTTCAACTTGTCACACGCTGTAGATTTCACTTCTTCAGCTTTTCGGTAAAGATTTGGATTAAAGACAGAAAGAAGCGACTGTATCATTGTTCTTTTAATTTTCTAGGTGCTTTGTCGACAAATGGAATGCGCTCGATGTGGGAATTTGTTTTTGTTTCCCAGTTCCTGCGGGTATTCCAGGGGAAGTTTGGTTTCGTCTGCTTCACGGCCGAGGTGCGCATTAAAACGACAGTTTGTTGCAAACAAAACATCTATTTTTAAGCGAATCTAGATATTTTGCGTTTTTATTTGAAATTTTATTGCCTGTTTTGAATTATTGGCCATATTTGTTGGTTAGTTGTTGATTAAACTGAAGCTACATTTCGATTTACAACTCGTCCGTTTGCTGCCAGTGTTTGCATGCATGTACTATAGCTTCTATGAGTAGACGTTAACTAAACGATTGATTTCGAATTCCTGCTGTTGAATTTTGTTGACGGGTTGTCTTCCTTAACAGGAATTAGAGAATGCCTTCTTGGAGTCTGAGAACTCGACACTGTTTGGAATATTTATACAACTGCTACGAACTCTACTTCCCAAACGGGATGTGAAGTGAGTAGAGTATTTGTATGTTTTTTATAACGGAAGCGTGTAACATGGCGTGTAATGAAAATCTCAGCTGATATGATTCCCCTACGCATTTGTCCGTTTCTGTCGAAGGAGTGATGGTGTGTGTGTATTTTTTTTTTAATTGAACTATAATTTTCTGCGTCCTTTTAAGACAAAACACATGGCAGGAAGTCCTCGAAGTAGAGCTGGAGAGGAGATCCTCGGACAGGTCTCTCTTCGACGAGGGAAAGCGTTATGTAGACTTAAAACCCGAGGATCGTGTAAGTAAAATTTCTCTCTGAGTGGTTTTTTAATTTTTATATCATTTAACGTATGTCTTTGTGGGCGTTTTGTTTATCGTCCCTCGCACGTTTAAAGTTGATAGGCTAAATACTGTTAACAGATGTAAACTAATTATTTTCGCAAATTGTACAAGGACGTCGAGGATGTCATTGCTAAATAAGTTGGCAAAACGTGATTTATTGCCGAAGTGGTTTCGCTGCAAAATGGCGGGCGCTTAAAACCGTACTAGCTATTTTCAGCTCAATTTTGTTCTCATCGTTGCTGTTAGTTAATTAGCACTGATGGACCTGTTCATCAAACTGCGTATCATTTTAACGAAGCTTTAAGGTCAAGTGCCAAACGAGATAATCCGAAAGCAGTGGCTACTAATAAACTACCTAATGATAATATAATAAGCTTAAAACACATTTTGTGTAGTACTTTGTTGTTTTCCTTTTTGCTGTAGCCAATTGCTGTTGCCTTCTACCTATCTTTATGATGAAATTATAATTTGTTGTTTCCGTAATACAAGTATTGTTTGTTAGTCTTTCTATGATACCTTGATTTAATATGTTGGACCCAAGATTTCTGTTTTGCTTAAAATTATATTTAAATGAAAACCTTTAAAAGGTAGACATAGGTTATCTTCATATATCAGTAATAATTATTCAGTTAAAACTGTTTCCATTTAAAATAAAGATGGTTTTCTTCAAATTGTGACTGTTAAATTCATTTGCTTATACAGGAATTTAATTTGGAATGCTGTTATAAATTTCCATGAAATGTCAATTTCCCTGGTGATAGTAATTTGAGTTGAAACTTCTATAAGTTAATCTGATCAGTGGGAAATTGAGACACAGTTACAACAGTGATGCTTGCAAGTTTACTTGAAGTTTTTAGTATCAGAATGTTCCAGTTTTCTGCTAATGACTCCATGATCTATTATACAGTAACATTAGTCTGTCTTAGTCATGGTTAGAAGTAGACTATTGTTGTGTGTCTGCTTTGACGAATTTTTAAGTCTAATGACTTGCCTTTTGAGTCAACTTGTGCACCATCAGTTGCTTCATGTTTCCCTTTGTGTATACATTATGTAACTACTAAATTTTTTGTCATTGATCTTATCAAATGAGATCACAAAATTTCCGGTCCTTAGCCCTTAACTTAGCAGCATATAGAATTCACAATCACTATTGCAATTTTAAAGTTTATACCTTTACTGTATAAAATCATCAGCAAACGATTTCGAAGAGGAATCCTTGTTCTTGAATCAACCAAAAACACTGCTGTACTTGCAAAATGGGAAAGGGCAAATATCGATTTCATCTGTTTTGCAAACAAAGGAGTTAATCACTGACACTGGAAATGGCAACTAGGTATTCCTCACCACTACCCTAGGTTTGTTTTCCAATTTTGTACGATTGAGTAAAAGCTCCATTTACCAGTAGTGTTTACTATTACAACCACTTCCCACCCCTCCCAGTGTAGTTATAGTCCATCAATCACCCCTCCCTGAGTAATAATGCTCTGCCTCCCACCCCTCCCTCAGTACTGAGCCATACAATGAGGGCTTACCCACAAATGTTTGGATTGACTTTTATTAGATGCTATCAAAAGAGCAAAGCTTGAGCAATTTTGAGAGTTTTTAGAAACATTTGAACCAATAGGAAAAATGTTTGATGGATCAGAATACATGTTACTACAGTTTTAAATAGAAGACTTTTTATGATCATTGTATTTGAAAGAGAGGATACTGAACTCACATTTTATTTTTTATTTTGCAGGTGTTGCTGTTGAAACAACTGATATATTATTTGGCAGACCACCTTGCAGCGAGTAAAGATGAACAATTAAAAGAGTTTACAAAGAACTTTTTAAATCCAGACTCTTCAGTAAGTTTGCATTTGTTGATTTTCGCCATTCGAGGTCTAAAGACAGCTCTGATTTGAATTCACTAAAAGATGTGATGTTATATTAAATTTACCAGTAATAACTTGGGGTTTTACCTATTTACAACATATTACTAATACGAATTTAACATGCTATGTTTAGGTTTGTTGCACTGGCTGGGCTATTTTGTCCTTTTTGTTCTTACAACATCTCTCTCCACCCAAGAGTATAACTGGGTGCCAATGAGACATCAGGGGAACCTGATGAAAGGCTGGGCAGTAATCTACAAAGGACTAAGTTTCCTATTCAGTGTAATTAAAGCCCTTAGAATAAGCTTTGGTCACATGGGTTACTTGGGTTATAAGCAGACTCATAAGAGATAGGCCAATGGCTGTTTTGAATTGATCTCAAACAAATAATCTAAATCAAACATAACATTAATATAGCACCCCAAATGACAGGAGGCAATACAATTGACTATATTTAGCATTGTTAAGGAGTTGAATTTGGGAATATGCAGAAATGAAGTCATCTGGCCCGTTTCCTTGGAAAAGTGGATAAGGCTATCTAGTGGATGAATCTCTATCTGGTTGATAGTGCCATATGTTTTGTTAATAGTTATCTGCTGGATAGCAATTTATCGGTTAGATAACCTATTCACCCTTGGAAAGACTGGACCCTGTTGGTGACAATGGTATTTGAACCCAGGACCTTCAGATTTTGAGTCCAGTGCCCCCCACCACTCTGTGTCCTTCAGCAGTAACATATAACATCTGAAGCTATGTGGATACAGTTGGTATCATATGCCATATGCAGTGTATATTTGAAAAGGACTCTTGTCTTCTTAAAGTAAAGTACATATATGTAGCTAAGGTTCTGTTTAATTATTGATTCCCTTGAATGGCTAACTTAACTGAGGTAAGAGTTAAGCTGTGAGCCTCACAGCCATACCAGGAAAAAGATGAAAAACTGTTCCAGTATTTCTAAGCTATCAAGCCATTAACTTACAATTTTTTGCATTTTTCTTAGGGAGTGAAGCCCATCGGTCGTGATGCCTCCAATAACATTTATTGGTACTTTGATGGTAAGTATGTTTACTTAGTATGTCAAGTACTAATCACTTCTCATACAATATGCCTATGCATGAAAACCTCTTCAATTAGGTTAAAGCAAATGGAATTTAAATTGCTATTGGGAATTTACCATGACCTTGCATGTAATTGTTTTATTTCAAGCAATTCTTCTCTGTAAGTTTTTTTTACTTAGTGTATTGATAATGCATATAAAATTTGATTTGAAACAAAATTTTTGAAATTATAGGGCATGCAAAAACTTATGAGAAAGTCAAACAAGACTGATCAAGCACTTATTGTTATTTTGGCCAATAAAATAAATGAAAGTTGAACATCTTTTGCCTAATCTTTCTTTGGGGATAACTTATTGGTGTCAATTTATGATCAGTATTATGTGCACTGCCTAGTCACTCTGGTTTGTTTTTTGTTTTTCCCAAATTTGAACTTTTTAAAACTTTGATGTGGAAGGTTAACAATGATTGACAAGTAGTGACTGCAGGAGTCTATCCTGAACAAAAAATGCATTTCTTGCAAACAAATATGAAATGTATATATTGTTAGAGAGAAATACTTTACTTTAATATAATTGTGCTACCAGTGGTCAATAACCACCTGCAGAGGGAAAGCTTCAGCTAGACAATATGTTGAAGGTCATAGACAAAACAATTGATCAAGCTGACTGTTGAAATTCTCTGGTGAATTTTGCAATGTCAAGGTCAGAATAAGGCTTCAAAGCATGATCACCTGTTCCTAATGAATTATGCTCAGAACATTTTACCAATTAAGTATTCTCCACTAAGCACGGATGATGTCTTTATCGAAGCCTACAGGTTTTCAGTTACTACGTCAGTCACCCACATCTATCCTCTTCAGGCTTATTCTTAACCTCACTATTACACTTTGCAATTAAATGCAGCTGTAAGTATCGAACATTTACGAACCAGTATTCAATTTAGAGTAATTTAGGTAAATTGGAGAAGGTAACCATAACAGAGCTGAAGAATTTCCCTGATATTTATATAGTGAGAATTCAACAAACTTGAACAACAAAACAGCATATATTTTAATATGATAACCAAAATTTACACTTTGTTGTCTTGTATTTCTTCTAAATGTTAGAGGAAAATTAAAGTTTGCATTATTTTGGGGTCAATAATTGTCAACACTGTAGGTTTACATAAGGAAAGAGATTCTGAATGTGTCTGCAGAAATTGTCTGTATAACTTCTCAGTTTCTGTGATATACTACAAGGAAGAGTTAGGTCAAAGCTGTTGTTTTAATGATCAATATCCAGTCTGGCATCCACTAGCAGTCTGTAAGATCAAAAAACAGTATTGATGTATTTTGAAATTGATTGTTTACACAGACTTAAAAGGAAACTGCTTTTTATTCATCAGAATACTAAGGAATCAGTAGTTGAACACCAAAATGGTGTTTTTGAGTAACAAATAACATGTGGTTTTGTTAACACGTGAAAATTATATTTTATGAAACAAATTGTGTTTATTTTCTCAGTTTTGGAACAATGAAATACTGCTACTACTACATAAATTTTACAGCAACTTTTAACAAACACTCATGTTATGACTGTTTCAAATTTATCACTCTGAAAAAACTGAAATATGTTTTAATTCATTTGATGATAGTGCATTCTCACACTGCTTACTGAAAGGAAAAATTTTTAGAGTTGATTTATATTTTTACTTTAAAAAATATATGTTTTACTAAAAAATGTATACTTTTGAGATATATCATCATGACTGTGTGTAGGGGTTTATATCATTTTAAACTATGGATCTGAAAAACTATAGTGTGACTCTTTCTCTTTCACAACCACACATGTACCATTAATACTTTTTTGATATTTATTTCAAGAATTGCATAACTTTGTATCATGTTCATGAAATAATCTGTACTTTAATGTACTTTTTGTGTTGTACAACCTATTATTAATAGCAACACTGCTTTTGCTTTTGTTTTGTTACGCTTTTTTTCTTTTGGGAAGTAAATGTTTTTATATAATGCTCATACAACAGTATTTTCCTGTTTTGTATTTAATCCTTTGTTTTAACCCTTATCTTTAGAAGACTGCAATTCATAAACTAAATATTCTAATAGCCACAGCAGCCACAGGCTTGACACTTGTTTCCCTCTGAGAATTTTCAATAAGGCAGATTTATTTATTACAGGTATTTAGTGCAGAGTTATCTTTGCCTTTTCTTTCTTTTTCCTTTTTATTTTTTTTTATTAAGAGTCACACCAGATGTCTTCTCCTAAGTGTGATATGGAGATGTTTTATTCCTCTCCATTTCTTTTAATTTTGTGCTTGCTTTTCTTGAGATGCCATTTAGTCCATTGTTTACTGCTGCCAAATACTCTCTGAATAAGCTTTTGTCATGGAAATTTTTCATGCATTTAAGAAATTCAATTTGCATAAATTTGTTTTCATTTTTGGTTGAGGGGCTTTGTTGATATTGTAGCTCCAATGAAAAGAGCCATTTTTGTTCAGCAGGTGACAAGCCAATTGAAGATCCAATCACAGGGCTAGTTTCTTAAGAGCAGTGACTGTTTACACTGGGTTTTTTGCTGTGTTCCAATGGGCTCTAAGCAGCCACATTGTTCCCAAAGCTTGTTGACAAGATTCAAATTAAAAAGCTATTGTATGGTTACAAGGAAAATGCAATTAGGCTAAGTCACATGGCAGGGCAAACAACAGAATGGAATAAATGTTTCATGGGACTTGCATGTTTTGCATATATTTTGAAAAGTCGTTTTGAGGCAAGAAGCTCATGGCTTTTACAGTTGGATTATTTTCTCTCTGGTCTTTGCCCCTTGTCAGAAATGTAGGTATTTAATATCTTCTTCTGATAGAGGGTTTTTTCTACAGCTTCAGCTAGATTTATTGTGACCCAAATAGATGCTGTCCTACGCTTGTAGTATATATATTTTTAATTTAGCATAATCTAAACTTAACTTGATTTACTATGTTTGGATTCAATTCTGAGAGGTTTTGGTGGATCTTTAAGACCTAGAAGGGCAGCTCTTTCACAGGTCAGCAAAATGACGGACTTAACTGGTGTGAATCAAAATTGACTCTCTTTGTCTGGTCACAAAAAGGGCTTTTTAGAATCCTGCCAGAAGTTTGAATATTTATAACAGCTACAGTCTGAGCTAGTTCTGTGACCAGCCAAGCATGTATTGTTTACATATCCAGAGCTTATGAACTACAAATCCTCTGCAGTATTTCTGTTTTTAAGAGTCTGGAAAATGTGAATATTTTCTGAGAAACTGTTTTGTAAATAATTTTTGTTTCATGTTGAATTTGTCACGTATGTGGTATGTACTGGTATTCTGACTGCCCTGTTGTATTGCAAAGTGTGTTTGTTGAAGAACAGTCCTTGTTAAAAGTGGATCATCTAGTAATTACTTATATAATCAAAGAAATAATAGTCAGTGTAAGTGTTGTGCAACTATAATTGTTACCTCAAGAATCACATTCATACAATGACTTTAGACTTCATCCACAAAATATTTCTGAGTGCTACACTATAATGGTTTAAATGACCTAAGATGTATTGCTTAACAGTATTTTTCACAAGCAGGGTTTCTAGTCAGTCAGTCTCTCTCTTCTGCTATTATCATCTTGAAATCACCATCAAAAATTCAAATCACTCTGTGGTGTGTTAACACCCTGTCAGCTACATTGTTTATTAGAATTGAAAGTCTGAATGTAAGGTTTTATTGGCCGACTGATGAGAACTTTTGTTTTAGTTATCGTTCACTTCCTGTGTAATTTTAATCATAAATACTTGGAATAATATGATAACATGGTTGACTTAATACAACTTCCATCCAAAGGAAGCATTAGTTCTCTTAAGAATTTGATGATTCAAACGATAAACCTGGCATACTGTTTGTAGATATGATAATATTTACGGGTTCACATCCTCTTTTACTGTAATTTCTCTCCACAATTTTATAACTGACATACTTGATGGAAGCTTTCCTCTAAGACAATCTTGATGGCTTTCTCTATTACTTGCATGGTTGTTCTGATTTCATTCTGATCCTCTGGCAGACCTTTTTCTCCTTGTATTTTAATAAACTTACAACTGATTCTGACAGTAGCAGTTTGTGGTCTGTAGGTGCTATATGAGACAGGCAAGAATTAGAGCCTCTTGTAAAACTTAAGTCTCTTCTTTTTTTTGCTTGTCATGATCTTAGTTTATTTTCTTCACTTGAGAACTTTCTTGGAAAGTGATACATTTGGTGAATAGATGCACTCTCTCATATCTCTAAGAACAAATGTGTAAAATTAGAAAAAATGTTCTAGTTATTTTAATTTTCACTATAATTAATATATAACTTCCTCCACCATCACCTCTTTGCCTTAGTTCAAGATGCATCAAGTTTATTGGCTACATACAGATTTTTGAAAGAAACTTTTAATGCACCTAAGTTGGGCTCTCACATACATGTATGTTATGGGTGAAGATGTTGGTTGTTGTCTCTTGGGCACATATTACATTGCTGCACATGATATCTCCATTGTAAACACTACTTCAATACTAACTGACAGCTCTGTCCAAGGTAACTATGGTTTGTGATATTTCTTCAGCCTTAACAGTTATGTCTTGGCAAAGGAGTAGTTCTTAACAGTGTTTAATAGCAAGTTAGTAAAGTGAGTGTGAAATATTGTTAATCCCTCTAAACTGAAAGGGATTTGTTTGTTTTGTTCACTAGATTTGAGACTTTACCGTGAACTCATTGGAAAGAAGGGTCGCCGAACAGGGTGAGTGTTAATTGACTATAAATGCATTGTTGTGTCATCAAGTTCTTTGATCTGGTTTGATATGAGAACAGTGGGAATCATAATTATAATTTAATGGGGTAAAAAAAGAAAGACTGATTTGCCCATACTTAGATAGAAGATTGTGTTTGCAAGCATGATGCTTGAAAGGAAATGCAACAGATCACATTACCATTTTAAGCCAGCATTTTTCAACAAATTTTTCTTTGCAGTCAACTTAAAATCAGTGGGTGAAATTTTTCAGATTTCAAAAAAGTACATTTTTAGTCTATCAAAATTAAAAGCTTTGTTTCTATGAGAAAAGTAGGCCAAAGCAGGGAAAAATATACTTATTATTTACAGTTATCTAGAGTAGTGTGGATCATGCCTTGATTCAGGTGAAGACAATTACTGTTATTTTGAAGTTGTACATACATGAATTGTATAATTAACCTTTGTCAGTGTGTTCCATTTAAAGATGTGAATATGCAAGAAGTAAATGAAGGGAGTAAATTTGTTTTTCTAAGAACTTAAGACTTGAGGCTAAAGGCAACATAAATTGTTGCTCTTTATTTACCCCTTACCTCAAAATCAATCCTCTATAAGTTTACCCCCCTATGGTAAAATCACACTATCTTGACAGATTGTCTTTAAATATCTCAGTTTCTAGATTGTTGCTTGATAATTTATTACTGTTATTACTGCCCAGCCAGAGCTTAAGGCTGGCCAATCATGCTGTAATCAGACATTTATTTTATTTAAACTCAGGGGTATGATATTTTTCAAATTCATAAGTACATAATGCTTATTTTTCCTCTCCCATTTTCTGTCTTGGCTTCAAGATTTTTTTTTTCTGTTTCAATTTAAAGACACAGGTAGAGTTCTCTAAGTTTACAGCCAATGGTGCTTGTTCACTACATCATCATGTAATCACAAAATTATTACTAAGCTTCAGTAAATTTCCTCAAACAGCATTTTGATTCAACCTCTCTTGATTACCTGATGCAGCTGAATGAAGCTTTAAACTTCTATTATCAGTGATATAGATATATTATTGCAATGATGCTGATTGCCTCTGAAGTAACTGAATTCTATAGATCTATTCTCAGCAATTGTGATGCACAATTCGATTTCCTTTGAATCAAATGAGAAAATTGGTTGATTGTATCAGAGAATGATTTTTAATAAAGAAACAACATCAATTATGAAATTACTTTGGGTTTAATAGTGTTGCAATGCACTAGACTAAGTATGGTTTTTTTTAATGGAGCAACTATTGATGGTAGAAGATAAATGGAATAGGAACTTTCCTCTTTGGCAATTGAGTTGGGATTTTGGTGTCAATTTAGTTTGTTGTCATTATGGTAAGTTTTTGGTATACCAGAACCTTCTTTAGTTGCAAGACATATTTCCCACTGCTTTTGCATAGCTTAGGAATGTTTTCTGTAAGAGCAGGAAAAAAGGAATGATACAGCATGTTACTTTAATGATGCAATGTGCTGGGTTAATGTCTCTGAACTGTTAGTTCAGTTTTTGTGCCATTTGTTTGAAATTTCGAAAACCAATGTTATTTTGATATTATAAGTTTGTTCTGTTGTCTCATGACAAGGTCACTTGATGTAAAACGCAACATTTCAACTGCTTACAATGTTATTTTCTTTTGTTAAGTTGAGATAAGCATTACTAGACAGAGAAAATTAGACTAAAACTTTCTTGAAAAATTAATAATAACAAAAAGTCACCACTATATTTCCAACTGATGTGCTGTAGGAATTATCCTTGAAAGTCATGCTGCTGATAAGTGTAAAGAGATACAGTATGTTGAGTATTCTAACTGTCTTCATGGCCTAATTATATCAAGATTGATACCCATTATATTATGTTCTGTTATGACTGATATGTTATGTCAATTGAAAAAAAAAGAAAAATAAGGGAATGAAATAAGCCTCAGTATTCAGAGACATGAGAGGATATTTCCCTGTTCGAACAATGGCTGCATGGATTGGGTATGACATTTTCCTTATTGTATGTTTTTCTTGTGGATTTTTCTGTCATGCAGTTTAATGGACTGTGAGCTTGCTTACTCTAAAATGGGACATATCAAAAATTGTTCATGTTATTTAAAGGCATTTGCCCAGCTTGTAAATTATTTGATCACTAATTATATGGCAACTGTTGCAAGACATCTTTTTTTGTTTTGAATTATTTTTAAATTTTAGTTTGGGTATGAAACCATTTAAGTGCATATCTTATGACATTTCCCATGAGTTTCTTGAAACCCAAAACTTTGGTGACCAAAAAAAAATTATTTTACATATAACATTTCTTTCTTTTTTTCAAGCTGATAAAACTAAGCCATACCAAGCTAATGTAAAAATACCCAGGTTTTTTTATGAGAAATTTTACTTTGACCAAGAGAAAATTAATCTTAGTTATTATCTACCTGAAGTCATGAATTGATAATGATCTATATTTATCTGACTGTGAACAATAATTTCAGACATGCTGTTTGGCCAAATTAAGGGGGACATGACATTCACTGTAATGTAAACATGTCAAACACAACAATTTTCATTTGCTGTTTTTTTTTCCTTACTCCAATTGCTTAGAATTCATTGACAACTAACAGGAAAAAAGGAGAATTCTTAAAAATTATTCTGATGCCAAAATGTGTACACACAAAGCCTCATTTATGGTTTACAACAAAGATAGTTACCCAAAAGAATTGTGTTTTAACATTTAACTACACAAACACAGTAAGATACTGTTTATTTAAGATGGAAATAGTTCTTCCATATATGGCATGCCAAGTATTAAATTTCCATTATTATGATTTGCTGAGTAAGAGAAAATTAAATAAAGCATGAAGCTGTTATGTTAATTAGCCATATCAGCCAGCTGGTGGGATTATGTTTGGGGGCCATGTGAAGCATATTTAATGAAGCAGTGTAATTGTCACACTGTTCAGTGTGTTTCTCCTTATGTGTTCCACCTTTTGTGTTTGTGTTTTCATGCTAAAGAACCACTAGTTGTTTGAGGTGTTAAAATTGCAAACCTTTTTTATCCTAGAAAATTCACCTGCCCATTTTGAAATTTTTGCTGAGAAGGATGGTTGCCTGGAGTTGATTGTATAGTTGATGTGGTATTTTGCATATTGTATTTTTCAGCTGGGAGACTGTCTGTTTAAATTGCCAAGACTGGGAGAAGCTTCTGAGGTAAAACAACTGTCTTTTGATTTTTTTTCAAGTCACTTTTTCTATCCAAGAGAGCCTCCAAATTTGGACTAAAATGGATTTACCTTTTGCTCTTAATTTAAATTATTATTTTCAATATGCAGGCCATTTTATCTAAGACTACCTTACTCTGGTCATAATCCCTCATTCATTCATGCGTGTACACAAGTGGTTATCTTGAATGTGTCAGTGAGCAGGACTTGCAAGCGCGCTGGATCTAGTCCTCAGTGGGAGTAAAAAATTTTTTTTTTGTGACAATCACATTGTTTGGAGGTATTCATCAAAATGTCAGTAAATTCACCAGGTTTGACATTAACTAGTTTGATTGGGGAAAATATTCACATGACTTGTGATAATAAAAGCCTTTGAAACATTTTACATATCTGTGGTTGTAATTTAAAAGTTTACTATAGAAAATGACTTGAATCAAACACAAACTTATCATATGATTAAACTGAAATAGCATACATTTACTTGTGTTTATAGCTTTATATGGCATTAATTATTTTCAAAGGCAAGAAACAGTTATTCTAATGAGGTGGTATAATTTTTGTTCAATGCTTCAAATACACGGTTACCAGATCCTTCTGGAAGTTGTTTTTGTTGTCATAGAAAAATCTGAGGTTATACTGGTTCTTCTGACATAGTCATCTGTTTTGCTTTCCTCAGTTGGGAACTCTGGCATAATTTTTGTAAAATTTCAACAAAAAAAAATTGTTTTGTGATATACAATTAGTTTTGGAGGGCTGGGATAAATGTTCGTAGATGACCAAAGTTGTATACAATGCTTTAACTGATGAAGAGTCATTTAGTTTTAATCAGTGGAAAGCCAAATATTTCTATATGATGATGTTAAAGAGACATTAGAATACAAATAGTTGTCTTAAACTAAGCTGTGTTTGGTGAATGCAGTTTCCTGACTGTGTACTTTATTTGCACTGTTTGATCCTACAGTAGGTTTTTTCCATCTTTCTCTCTGTTGCATTTGATGGTCAAGTAGATGTTGTTTATTTGTTTATATGATATTCTAGACAATTTGTATGGTACAAATGTTTTTGCAATATTGGTGGATGGTGTTTTATATGTTATGATTCACTTCTAGTTGTATTGATGTATGCTGTACCTGCTGATAGCTCTTTTCAGAAGTCAAGCAATAGTAATGAGAAAAAGCTGTACAAGTACCTGAAGAATGAGCTGTATCCTGCTGTCATGCCATCAGTAAAGGTGCAGTGCTGGGTAACCAGTTCAAATGTTCAACTTTACCATATACTGATCATGAATGTTTGTTCGGCTAAACCCAAGCAATAAAGTTAGACAGTAAATCCAACATCAAAGTTGATTCATCAAATTTATCCTTTTGTGAAATTAGGGAACTGTGGGTTGTTAAAATAATTTACCAATTTATCAATTATGTCCAAAATTGCTTAGATGATTCATATCTTTCTAACAGTAAATTGGGCACATAAAACTTTATTAATTTAAATGTTGACTTTTGGGGTATTTGATAAAAGTAAACACTAGGGTTATTTCAATATAACACATGAAACAGTCTGTATTTGAATCAGTCCTAACTGATTAGATATTAAACAAAACATTTCACATGCAGCGCCTTCTTGAAGAGAGTCATCAATAGTGTTTGAAGTTTTAACATAAGTTTGTTTGGCTTTTGAAGTCTTGTTTAAAGATGCACTCACTTCTTCAGTAAGTACTACTATTTAAAAGGCTTTTTGTTTTATTTCTTTAGGAGGATGAGAAAGAAAAGGAACTGGAGACTTTGAAGAAGGACAGGTCTTCCAAGGCAAATCAGAAGGTATTCCTGTTAATAAACTATACTCGTCTGGAGTAATCGCAGTTCTGAAAAAAGATAAGTAAACATAATTTGTTGAAAGTTTTGTGTCAAGTTTTATGAGTAGTTCAGCTTGGATGAAATATCATCTGTGAATATTGCAGGCAGCTGCCAAACAAAAAGCAGATAATGATGCAGTAGTTGGAAAAGAAGGCAAATTGGAGAGAATAAAGGTAACGTGTGGCCTGTCATAATATTTATGACCGTCAGATGGCCTGCTGTCACTTGTGTTTTGTTTGGGGGACAATTCGTACTGGTTGTTAGATAAATCTCTGTCCTGTGGGTAGTAAACGCTGTAGTTAGTTTGTTTAAAATTCTTTTCTTCTGGTTAATTGGTTATCTTTTGATTCAAACCCATCGAGTCTCCTGTGCAGTCCCGTGAAATGTTAGTTAGTGGAGTGGAGATCGGGGCCTTACAATTTCTGATAGCAGGCTCTCTTTTTCTTGGGGAGTATGAAAGAGTTAGGAAGTACACTAGTACTATGCAAAGCCCCCAAGGGCTTTGTTAAGCTTCATCCACTCAAACTGTACGTACTCTTACATTATGGGCCATTAGGGGCCCAGGACACACTTAACTATAATCATAACTAACGAAGAAAAAAAAAAAGAGAAAAAAAAACTGGATCTCGGTCAGTGATTTACTTTTTGTCTTTGATTGTCTTTTAACATGTAGTATTGCACCCATTATAACATGTAAAAACTTGGTCGTATTTTATCTTTACTTCTGTCATCTTTATGTAATAAAAAAAAACTCTAGCTGCTCTTCGATGCCCGCGGTTTTTTTGCATTTAAATGTGTGAACTGTGCTGGACGCTTGTTACTTAAATCTTGCATATGGCCCAACTTGCCAACGAATTCACTGCACCTAAGTTTGTAGTGAATATAGTTTGTCACGCGTTCGTACAATTGTTTCTTATCTTAATTTGATTCCTTTTATCTGCAGGGGAACAAGCCAGAAGAAGACGACGATCTCGGTGCCCAGGAAGACCAAGAGGAACAGGAAGACGACACCGCGGAAGAAGACCAGGACGAAGACGACGTTTCGGACGCTGAGCGAGAACTTGAACTCGACGAGGAAGACTCTCCTCGGCCAAGGAAGAAGAGAAAGAGGCCAGCACCTGAACAGGGAACACAAAGGAGGCGAGGGCGACCACCAGCCACCAAAAGAGATCTGGGTATTATGGACGAGAACAAACCTATGGAGCGAGCTGAGAGAAGAAGGAAGAAAAGTGAGCTCGAAGAGAAAGTCGAGAAGGACATGGAGGTACCCACTACATCGCTCTTAAATCGATTTTTTTAAGCTTACGATCTCCCTCCAAGGGGTTACTTAAGTTAAATGTCGACTTAAATTAGCCATTTAAAATTAAAAAAGAGCTGCTACGCGATTTTTTTTAAATTTCGTAAAACTCCACCAAATCTTGCTCCTTGTCGTTATTCATAACACTTGTGTTTTTTTGTAGTATAATGAATATTTTGAAATCTTCATGTTGAAAGTATTGCACTACACGAAAAATTGGCGCGGAAGCTCGGTTGAGTTTACAT